AAAAAAAAAAAAAAAAACAGAACGATTGCTAAAAATCGTCGAACTTGGTGATTTATTTTCAACAAAATCGCTTAAGCAAAAAAAACCCTCCCGTTTTAGAAAGTACTAATTTTTTTTTGCTTTTTTTTTTTTTTTACTTGATCAACATTGTTCGTCTGGCAACGATAAGGATGAGGGAAACGGGAGGAGAGGGTTAGAAACAGAGAGTGGGAAATCAAAAAAAAAAAAGAAGATTTTTTCAGAAAGAATATAGGTTGGTGTTGTTGCTGGGGCTTTTTGCGCTGTGTCATCTCTTTATAAACTGAACAACGCTGCTGTAGTTGAGAAAAAAAAGTAGACGAAACAAGTAGCATATTATCCAAACACTTCTGCATTCATTGTTTTTTTTTTTTAAACTGTTTTTTTTCCCTACTTGATCTAAGGAACAATATTCGTTTTTTGCTTTGCCAATGAGAAAGAGAAGAGGATGAAGGGATTGAAAGGGGTTATTGGGTACAGCAGGCGGAGAGGAACGGGGACGGGTAAGCAAAAAAAAAAAAAAAAATCCTACTATTTAAATTATTACATGCATACCATATGTAAATATAAATAGAAATGTATTTATGATTTTGATTTTGAAGAGTTGAAACTAATTCTCATAAATCTTAGCAAAAAGAAAAAAAAACTAAGGCAACTGATTCCCAATACACATAATGCTGTTTTCGTTAACTGTCCTCGTCTTCTTTTCTCTTTTTCATCCTGTTTCTCTTCAAAAAAAAAAAAAAAAAAGGAAAAAGAAAAGATGAAGTAACTTTTACAAAAAAACTAAAGGCTATTTTTTTCAAATAAAATTTATGCTAATCGTTATTTTTTGTTCCACATAATGGTAAAAAAAAAAAATTCAGATTACCTATGTACAGATGGAATCAACTGTAACAGAGGGTTCTTGTTGGGATTTGAGATGATATATGTGTTGTAGCTGTGAATGTTTTTTTTGCGTTTCTGAGTGTGTTGGTGTGTTTTTTTATATGTATGACAATGGTGTATTAGGTGAAAAACTGAATCTCACTGAACTGTTCAGTTTAATTTTATTTGAATATCAAAATTTCCTCAATATCTATTCATTTTCATCTGTGTTTCTGCTGTTTGAGAGATGTCCACATTTATCACACAACAACAACAATAATAAACTTTACTGCAGTGTTTGGATCAGCATACAGTTTAGCTGAAAGTTTTACAACCAAATATAGTTTTTTCTTTTTTTTTCCTACGACAATAGTAAAAATACTGAGTAAAAGGTCTGCAGTAAGCACAAAAAAAAAAAA